ACTAAAATATGAATGACCTATAGCTGCCTAAATTTCTCAGGAATATTTCTATTTTAAAGCATGTGGAAAAGGTAGCATAAAGTAGAGGATGGAGAGCTGGCCTTGGAGTCAGGAAGGATTCCGGGTCCATATATGCCACAGCCTGGCTGTATGACTCTGGGTAAATCACTTAACCTCTCAATGCTCCAAGAAACTCTAAGATCTTAAATGCAGAGCAGATGCCCTTTAATACATAGAGGGAGTTTCCTCCTCTGGGAATCCCATAAATCGATGAAACCACAAGTCTCATCAGGCAGGAAAAAAAAAAGAAAATTGAAAACTTCACAAGAAATAATGGAATTTCTGTCCAGGAGGGCCATTTGGAGAAGGGGGAGTCCTACCTGGCACCCCTTGAATCACATCAAGGAGCCACAAAATCTTGTCTTCGTGGGCCAAGGGTCAGGTCCCTTGATCAATGTGTACCTTAAAGAACTAGACAGAGGAGAGGATAAGGAGACCCTGTGGGCCAAGACCAGCCACCAAGTCACACCTCCACTCCCACCCTGCCTCCTGCCCCGACACAAACATACCTGATTAGACACCCTCTGAACCATAGGTTCCAGGAACCCCCACCAGCCATGCAGACACTCAAGCTGTTAACCACAGAGAGCTGGACCTGCTTGTTAGTGGAAAGGAGTCAGCAAGCCATTAGTTTCTGCTGAAAGGAACCGAGGCGGGGAAGGGTTAGTAGTGGTCACGCAGAAGAGGTTAATAGGAGGTGGTGAGAGCTGTGACAGGCAGGCCGGTGGCCTGGGCACTCAGGGGCCAAGCGGAGGCAGTGCCTGTTAGTGGTTAGAGAGCAGGGCCAGCCAGGGAGAGGTAGGGTTTAGCAGAGAAGCAGCTAGAGTTAGTGTCTGGGAGCCAAAGGTGGTGCAGGAGGGAGAGATGCCCACCAGCTGGGCAAGGTTCATAAAAATAACTCAAGACCTGATCCTTGCTGCCCTTTGAGCATACCCACCCAGGTGCTGATACTCTCCCAGCATCCCAACCTTTAGGACCACATGGAGAGGGATAGGATAAGCAATCAGGACCTCAGGAACTCAAAGACTGTGAAACTCCAGGATTGATTAGGAATCAGTGCACCATTTTTGCCTTTCTTTGCAAACCTGGCACTTGGCACGTCCTAAGCATTTAATAAATTCCTGTTGACTACCTCACTTGGGACTCTATGGAGTCTTAAAGACCTGGCTTTCTCAGGTGAAGAGGAACAAGAGGAGGAAAAAAGAAAAGAGAAAAAAAGGAGGAAGGAAGAAGAAAAGAGAAAAGGAGAGAGGAGGGAGGAAGAAAGGGAAGAGTAGAAAGGAAGAAGTAAGAAAGAGGAATAGAGTAGAAGGAATGAGAAGATGGGAGATGCAGAGAAAAAGGAAGGGACAGGAATAAAGGAGGAAGCAGGTAAAGAAATGGGAGAATGAAGGAGAAAGGAGAGTGGAAAGTTCAGAGGAGAGAGAAGGAAGGAGGAACTATGAAGTGAAGAGGGAGAAGGTGTGGAAACAGAGGTGAAACAGCCTTTCACTTGGTGCCAGGCCTTTCCCCATGGCTGGATCTCCACCTAGATAGCCTTTACAGCCAGTACACCTGTGCAGAATACCTAGACTTACCCAACCTTTATCCATCCCCCTTTTCTGAGCCTCTTCACTTTATCTTCACTTCTTCTCCAGTTCCATTTCCTCCCCTTCTTCTCCTTACCCCACAGCCTCTCTTCTCTTCCACTTTTATTTTCGGATGAGATACATTATTCAATCTGTGCCTCAGTTTCTCCATCCATAAAATAGGAACACTTACTCCTATCAAAAGCTTTCCCCCACTCAGGGATATCAGGAATATAGATAAAAGCATAAGAGGATAGAAGGTAGCATATTCCTGAAATAGACTGGGAAAGGGTAGCCTTCCAAAGCACTTTCTTCCCAAGAATTTTTTGTGTGATGAGGAGTGGGAGTATCCCCATTGCACAGATAGGAAGCCTGAGGGTCAGAAAAGGTCCTCTGAATCCAAATCCCAAGCCAGAGTTCTCAGATTCCTTCATCTCATTAAGACACTGCCTTCCCCTTAAAAATCTCAAATCCATCCTCTCAATACCCTTGAACAACCCAGAGGGGAGTAAATGGAGAGAGGAAATGGGCTGAAGATGGTGTTTCCCCAGCCTTGGCAGCAGCTATGAGCCACATTGCAGATGGGTACAGGGGGAAAAAAGAAGGAAGGTAAAGTTCGTGGCTTCCTAGGACTGGATCTCAGTGATGGCTTTGGTGCTACATAACCCCGACACAACAGACTCCCTCCTCCAGGGGACCCTGGGGAGCCAAATGGCCAGAGATTCTCACTGTTCAAGTAAGTGAGGGAGCTGAAACTGGGATCTCCCCTCCCCAGTTCAACCATCTTTCCTTTCTATGAACCAAGCCTTCAGCTGGCTCTCATGGGTAGTCTGAAGCCAGCATCTCTCCACCTCCATGGAGTGTCTGTTAGTGATAAATCAAAGCAACTCAGTTAGTTTCTGCTGCAAAGGAGAAAAGAATAACCATCTACAATAGTAACAGAAGCAGGGCCCTAATAATCCTGGGAGATGGGAAAGGCTCTGGCCTAGAGAAAGGGGGAAAAGGGGGATGGCAAAGCATCTGCTTTCCTGAGGCCCGAGAGCATCCATCGGCATGAAAGGAGAGCTTTGTCTTCCTTCCCAACCCCTTCCAAGCTAATTAATTACGGCGGCTCTCATTTAGTGGGTACTTCCAACCAAGGCTCAATGTTCCAATCTCATGCCACTCTGGGCAGCAAAGCCCTCCCACAGACACACTCATTGTGTGAAAATCTCCCCATAATGTATTAGAAAGCCCACTCTCTCTCTCCATCTCCACAGAGAGCTCCCCAACATGAAATCTTCAACCCAATTCTGATAGTAATCAATCTGCCCTCTCGAGCCAAGATCTATGAAACCCATGACCATTTTGACCAGGATCACAGAATCAGATGTCTCAGAGCCAGAAGGGACCCATCTAAGCTAGCCTCCTCAGGTTCTAAAGGATGAAATGGAGGCAAAGGACTCACCAAATTTCAAAGCTGGAAAGGACCTTAAAGACAATTTAATCTAACTTTCTCATTTTACAGAGAGAAACATGGAAGCCCAGAAGAGGAAATTGACTTGCCCAAGAGAAAAGACCCTGTCCCAATCAGCATGACCAACTTTTCCCATCCTCCAGACTACTCAGGTATAGCCTTCTGGGAAAACCATAGCAAGGGTGTGCTGTTGGACACCCTAACCATCTAACGAGGGTTCCCATTCCAAAATGGCTGACTCTGGGCTGCCTCAACAGGGGAGAAATTAAAAACCAACAAGGATTTTCCAAATTCTTTCTATGTGCCAGACACAGTGGCAGATCTCACTTTTTGTCAGAATGACCTGGGTTCTAATCCCACCTTTGCCATTTTACTAGCTATGGGACTCCGGGAAAGTTGCTTAAACTCTCTCAGGCTCCATTTCCTCATCTGTACAATGGGGTGATTTTAGTACCTACCTCCCAGGATTGTTGTGAGAACCAAACGAGATATTTGTAAAATGCTTTGCAAACCTTAAAGTGCTATATAAATGCTATTACTAATCATTGTAAAGCACCATGTAAATATTTGTTAGTAGTAGTAGTGGTAGTAGCAATAGTAGTAGTAGTAGCAGTAGTAGTAGTAGTAGCAGTAGTAGTAGTAGCAGTAGTAGTAGTAGTAGTAGTAGTAGTAGTAGTAGTAGTAGTAGTAG